AATAATAATAAAATTTAAAAATTTAAAAAAAAGAAATAGACTATAGACAAAACAATAAACACACTATATTCTAACTGTTGCCTATTCCGAGCTGAAGGCTGGCCACCCACATTTCATAGAAAGGATATTGACAAAGTGTCAGAGAGGTGTTAAAGATATTCTAGCACCAAAGGGGTTTTCCGTGGCTTAACAAGAAGGGCCAAAGAACTCAAAAGGGAATAGCTTCTCACTATGCAATGTGATGCCCTAGAACACGGTGGCCGTGGTTCATTTTAAACCATTCTGAGAAGCTGCTCCCATCACTGGTGGTGAGCGGAAGACCTGTAAGCTGAAGGAAATAGGTGGTGAATACAGTGACAAGGCAGCAGCAGCAGCCTGCCACCCTAGTACCCTGGAGACTCTCACAACTATGGCGTGCAGTCGGGCTCACCTGGAGGGGTGAAGGGCTTAAACAAGTGAACATTCGCAAAGTATAGAGCTCCCTCAGTGAAAACCAGAGAGCTGGTGGAGAGAAGTGGGCCTCTAACCCTTGGGATGACGCCCTGTACCTACTAGTCTGCTCCATGCAAAGCTTTGGCATATAGAAACTCAGAGTGCACCTGCTCACAATAATCATATGTTGTTTTGAAAAGAAAAAAAACGCTTATGTGGGAAACGATTAAGTGCACTCAGCTGGCTGGCATCACAGATAATAATCTAAGTGGTGCTCTACTCCACGGCACCTAACAACAGCAGGAATCTTGGTCACATTGACATGCTTTGATCAGGGAAGCAACACAATCTAGAATACATTTTCAGAAGCTTAGTAAGATATATGGTTGTTAGGTGCCATTGAATCAGTCCTGTATACAAGAAAATGACATCCTATCTGATCCTATCCTATGCTATAGTGAATTATTCAGAATAGCTTTCCTAGCCACTGACTTTGATTCTCACTACACGACTGGATAGACTTGTGTAATAAAGTGAATGAGGTAAAAAGCACTTGCAAACAAGTTATGTAGACTTCTAACTAGAGGACAAGTCCGTTTTGTCATACCAGTAGGTTTAAATTGAGCGGATTTAGAAGTAGAAAATGGGAATCTTAGCTCTGGTGGCCTAGTGGCAAGAAACTGCACTGCAATTCTAAAAGCAGTTCAAGTCCACCCGCTGCTTCACAGGAGAAGGATGGGTAATCTCCTTCCATGAGATTAAAATTGCCTCTGGGAACCCGCTGAAGTGTCAGCTTTGGGTCAGTTCCAGCTCAATGGTACACAACAACAACAACAACAACAACTACTACTACTACTATCAAGAAAGAAGAAGTTGAGAGGGCAATACATCCTTTTCAGAGATTTCTGTGCTGTCACAGAGATCAAGGCCAGACCAGAAACAATGGCGACAGCAG